ATAATGCAAATGAAAATAAAAATTAGTAATCTAATGTATGGAAATTTTTATATTCCTCAAAAAAGTTAAATATGGATCATCTCGTGTACTGGAGAGTCTAGTACAGGTAGATATAATGACATGTGGTATTGAAATTTTTTTAACGGTATAAATTTTACATTGTTTTCAATTAAAGTTTTTTTAATCTTCAAACCATTATAGACCTCACATTCCAGTATTGGACTGTCCAGTACCGGAGAGGATCCCAAAGTTGTATCTTTAGACATAATTATTAAACACTTTTTGTGTCATAATATCCTTTAAGGGCCAGGTTGAAATAAAAAATGGGCTTCTAATTTATCAATTTTTTTATTAAAAATATTAATAAAATATATATTTTTACATACAATCTCTAAAAGGCAAAAAAAAACATATTTTACAAATGAATATGGGAAAATAGTAATAATATATCAAAAATAACAAATGAAAACAAAATAGCATAACAACAACATGACTCCCTTTCATTATGGGACTTAGCCTATCCTCCTAGCTTGAACCTCCTTTGTGCATTTCATGTTAGAAACTCATATTTTCTCTATTTTCACAAAATTGGGTAAAAAAACATACCATTTTCATTATGTGGGCTCCAAAAAATTTCAATTTTAATATTATAAAGTATAGTTAAAATGATTTGTATTTTAATAATTATTTTTCTGGTTTGTAGAGCATGTAAGAATTTCAAATGATATTGGTCTAAAAAGTTGGGAAGAAAGATAGTTGGGGATGCATGTGCACTGGCCTGGCCCACCAGATTAGCAGTTGGGAACACAACTAAACCAGCACATGTGCATTTGATTTCTCACTTATTCTATGGGTTCCCGAAAAAAATGTATACATTAGCAATATAAAAGTTTTATATATAGTCAATATATTATATATTATTCATTTTTAATTATCATTAATTCTTTAAAAAAATGTAAATGAATGTTAGATGATGTATTGACTGTATATAAAATTTTTACACGTACATAGATATTGGACTTAACTTATTATTATCTAAGTGCATATTATGCATCAAATGTTAGTTATAAATAGAGGCCCCCCTTGTGCATTCAACCTCACCACATAATAGAGAACAAATTGCACCTTGCCTCTGCTTGTGAGAACTTAGAATGGCACACCAGGAATTTTCCATTGCTCTTATGATCCTCACTGTTCTCCTTATGAACATGAACATTCAAGGTGCCATGGCTGACTATGGTGGCTGGCAGGGTGCTCATGCCACTTTCTATGGCGGGGGTGATGCCACTGGCACAATGGGTGAGTTTAGCCTTTCATTTATATTTTGTCCTTACCCCTTAATCCCATTTGTGGATCTTAATCAAAACTGATACCCTTCCGAACTCAACCCGAATTTAATGGAAAAACTCAATGTGATTGAGTTCGGGTTTTACCCGAGTTCAACTTTCATATTTGGGTTTGGTATAGTTGATACTTTACTTTGTACCCACCCGAACCCGATTAATATATGTAAAATTATAAAATTACACATATATATACACAAAACATATGTTTCGGGCGAGTTTTCATCGGTTTCGGGTTACCAAAAAATCATTAGTTCGGAATTGTATCATTGTTTTCAACCCCGCTTAATTCGAGTTCGAGTTTTGAATTTTGTGTTCAGAGTTGAGTAAGCACAAACCCGACTTCACCCCGCCTTATTGTCATTCCTAATCCCATTAAGTGAGAGTGCAGTTATTTACTTTTTGTATCCAAGGTACAAACACTTGCATATGTGTGTACTAGGCCAATTTTAGCTAAACTACTACCTCATTTTGTGTTATGTTATTCTACACTTGTGGCAATATTAACTATTGAATTTTTACAGTGCATACATATTTATAATTCCATATATATTTGTCATGAAACCAAGTGTGTAATACCATATAACTCTATCTCATTTAGCCTCTCTTTTTTATTTGTATTATTACATCATTACATACATGTGGCAATATTTCATTATTGAATTTTACAATGCATACATATTTATGATTGTAATATTGATTGAACCATACATATTTATGATTGCTTATTTGAAAAATATGATTTAACAAATAAAACTTCTCAGAGTACTTAGTATGTAAAACTATGAGATATTGAGAAAAATTGTTTGAATAAGTAATTAAAATAGGAGTAATTATCCACTTTTGGTCATTATAATTTTCCTCATGTACCAAATTGATCCAAAAAAGAAATTCAAACTAGTAACGAAATATTATAAATGTAAGTCAATATGTTTAATCAATATTTAATATTTCTGAAATCAGTTTGAGTTTTTCCATTTACAGACACAAATTTAATATGTTTTACTCTTAAATTAATATTGCTGTTGTTTGTTGAGTGTAACTATAGAGAATTGAGATGTTAAAAATTGACCGATTGGTTTTATAAAATGCAGGAGGAGCATGTGGGTATGGAAATTTATACAGCCAGGGTTATGGAACTAACACTGCAGCTCTAAGCACAGCTTTGTTCAACAATGGCCTAAGTTGTGGGTCTTGCTATGAAATGAGATGTGATGATGACCCAAGATGGTGCAAACCTGGCTCTATTATTGTTACTGCTACAAACTTTTGTCCTCCAAACCCATCTTTGCCTAACAATAATGGTGGTTGGTGCAACCCTCCTCTGCAGCACTTTGATATGGCTGAACCAGCCTTCCTTCAAATTGCACAATATAAGGCTGGAATTGTCCCTATTTCCTTTAGAAGGTAAATGAATCCTTAAATTTGGTAGTTGCATCTTAAGCTTAAAGGGTCCCTTTAAATTTGTTTGTATAACCGCATGAGTAAAAAATTAATATTTTTCGGAGTGTTTGACTTGTTATCTTATCAAATATTACTTATAGGAATTAAACATTTGACTTTTTGATCTATTTAGCGATTTAATGGGGCCTTACACAACTAGAACAAATGTTCTATTAATTTGATTACTTACCCATATACAACTATATTATTATCATTACTATTTGATTTATAAAGTGAAGAGATTAAATATTTGAAAATCTATTTCACCCTCGCTTGAATCAAGCATTTAATTATCTTGTAGCACATGGCCTATTCATTACCAATAGAAAATTAATGTAGTTATTACCAAACCTATATCCTTTTCCTTTTTTTTTCTCTCATCTTGAAAAGTGAGAGATCCACTTATTCTTAAATATATTTCACATCTTAGTCATCTATTCTTAAGAAATTTAATGATTTAGTTGTAATTACCAATTCAAAATATTGGATTTTCCAAGAATGATTGACTATGTTATTGAAATGTGTATAGAAAAAGAAGATACAAATCAGTAAATGTTGTGTCAAATACAATATCCAAATTTTTAATATTATAATAACATGAACACAACCAAATTAAATGAGCAAGACTTGCATGGACACAAACAATATCAATCATTTGATTTATTAAAAATAGGTGTTAAAAAGAAAATGAAATTATTGTTAAAGTTATTTTGATTAATCTAATGACGGCTATTGTTTGTGTGGAACCATGTCTTACATGGAATACCATACATAATTACATTATCTTTATAAATCAAAACTATATTCACTATTTTTTTTTGGTGTATAACTAACAAAAATCACTCACAAAAATCGAGTATTTAATCTTTTGGTCTATATGAGAATCTAATATACCTTATATCACTAGACCAAATTTCTGAACTTAGTTTTACTCTTGTTTGCTGATGATAACAGAGTACCTTGTATAAAAAAGGGTGGAATAAGGTTCACAATCAATGGTCACTCTTACTTCAACCTAGTTTTGGTGACAAATGTTGGTGGTGCTGGTGATGTTCATTCAGTGTCCATAAAAGGCTCTAGAACTGGGTGGCAACCCATGTCAAGAAACTGGGGGCAAAATTGGCAAAGCAACTCTTACCTCAATGGACAAAGCCTCTCTTTTCAAGTCACAACCAGTGATGGTAGAACTGTTACAAGCTTTAATGTTGCACCAGTTAATTGGCAGTTTGGTCAGACATTTCAAGGGACACAATTTTAAATGTTTCAATGTTGGGTAGGTTAGTTAAAAAACAAGTTTGTATACTTATTAAGTTCTTCAATGGCAGGCCCAAAAAAAGTGTCATCATAAATATTTATAGACCTGTCAAAACGGGCCACCCGAACGGATTCGGGCTAGCTCATATTGGGCTCGGGCTAAATTAGTTCGGGCTTAAAAGTCCGGTTGTATTTTATGTTTTCCAACTTATAGCCCAAGCCCGGGCTACCGTATTTATTCTTATTATAAGTTGTCTTAACATTTGTGATTCTGAGAGGCCAGTGATTTATTTTTAATTAGTCTGTAAAGTAGCTGTGGTGGTTATATGCACCCGCTGGTCATTTCACATATATATATATATAATAACATGTATGGGAGTGTTATGTTATTTTTTGTATTGTGAAGCTTTTCATAATGATCAAAAGATGGTTTTTCTATAAAGAAGTTAATAAAATTAGTGAAGTGTCTTTAGCCCAGCTTTATATAAGGGAAATGATTTAACTTTTGAGTCATTAATCACTTTTTTGGTGCTAGTCAACATTCACTTTAATTCTTAAAAAATTAGACTTTATCCATTTGAACATTGGAAGATAAAAATTATTACTCAATGATCATAAATGTAAGTTAAAATAGTCTTATAAAGTGTTATAAAATATGTTAAAAATGATTAATTTGATACATAATTAATATTCTTGTAGACTATTTTGAGTTTTTAAATTTTTTAGAAATCAAACTGATACATGTGAAATTTTTTGAGGAATCAAAATAATATTTATTCTTTTAACTTTTTTTACCAATAGTTGATAAGTGGTTATTTGAAGCTATGATGTAGAATTGGGTTTTCATTCTATAGTTGAAGTCAGCTAAACTTGTTAATTGTTGTTTCAAATTTTAAAATGCTAGGTTTCTTTCCATATCAAACAGGATTATAAAAGGTTAATTATGATATGTTTTCAACAAGCACCAGTGGTCTAGTGGTAGAATAGTACCCTGCCACGGTACAGACCCGGGTTCGATTCCCGGCTGGTGCAATTAAAGAGCTATGATGATATTTGTACCAATTGTGATGGCTGGGTTTATCACTAACATCTTCAAGATGACAAAGAGTATATCTGAGCTCTTCAATTTTAGCACTCCTTTTTAGGAGAATTTGTACTCCATTTAACTTGAAGGTTGAATAGTACACGACTTTCTCAAAATTGGGTATGCTTTGCACAAATCTACTAGTTGCCCATTATGTTAATTTGTTAATATATTATTATAGGGTTGAAAATAAGTAGAACCGAGTCGAACTCGCATTTAGATCGATAAGGATTTGTTCGCATCGAAACTCAACTCAAGTTATCTTTTAAGCTTGAATTTAGTTCAACTATTCAGCTAGAATTGGTTTAGTTCGTCACAAGTTTGTGAACTGTTTAGTTCACCTCATTATTTACTATATATGTATACACACAAATTTATATACACTCATAAATATATATGTATATTTGACTCAAATTCGTCTCTTTATTTAACGGATTTAATTTTTAGATCAAGTTCGATTCATTTGATCCAGGAATAAAATTTATCGAGCTAAACATTATTATTATTATTTATTATTATTATTATTATTATTATTATTATTATTATTATTATTATTATAAGTCTATCTATATTTACAATCAATGAGCTTGGTTGCATCCACCACCCAAGTATGACATATAATTCTCAAACCAAAAGTTCAAAGCACAAGACAACCAAAAGATAAGATATATTTATCAAATTTACATATTAAAATACAAGATTAAAAAAGAATACCCTGCACAGATATACAAGAAAGTGACATCGGTAAGTTCATATCCTTGTTTAATGTTTAAAGATATTAGTGAATCTAAACTTCATATAAGCAAATTTTCATGATCAGGGGAAATTACCAGCAGCCTTTTACCAGATTGAAGACACGGACGCAAAGAAGTTTATCGGCAAATGCTTAGTAACTGCAGCAAAGAGACCATCAGCGAAAGAATTGTTGCATGATCCCTTTCTCGCGTCCAGTGACGCATCAACCATGACAAAGATTGGAATTCAGGAGCCGTTTTTAAATTACAATGAAATGGATAAACTTCAGTTGAGTGAGGATTTACCTAGGACTGAAATGTCAATAACTGGGAAGCTCAATCCTGAAAATGATACTATCTTTCTCAAAGTGAAAATTGCTGATAAGGATGGTATGCAATATTATTTTCTTGACATTCAATGTCATAGTTGCTTTAATCCCGGTGGTTCGTTTATAGTTCAAGGCCATGCATTGAAGTAACAATAAAAAAATCTTCTGCCTTTTCATGCAGGTTCAAGTAGGAATGTATTTTTTCCATTTGACGTTTTCTCTGACACACCAATTGATGTTGCAAAGGAAATGGTGAAAGAATTGGAGATCACAGATTTGGAGCCTTATGAAATTGCAACTATGATTGAAGGGGAGATATATTTGCTGCTCCCAAATAAGAGGAAAAGTAGCTTTTCAGACAGCTATCATACATTCCATTATCAAGATGACGATGACGACGATGATCGTGATGATAACGATGTACTTCATCAAGATTTCCACTACATTTCTTCCTGTTCATTGCCTAAAGAATCAATATCAGGTTTACTCAGTAAAGAAGATGAAATTTCAAATAGATATTATTGGAACCAAGGTATGGCTTCTTTGTCCCTCCCCCCTACTGCACTCGCCATTATAGATTGCCTAAGACATTGCCAAGGAACAATAGTAATAACTACTTTGCTGCTTATGAAATATTACAAATAGAGCGTCAATGGTGAGCCCTGGCGCAGCCGTAAAAAGGATAAGCCTCTTGTGGCCCCGTTTTATAGGTTATAAGGAAGGTACATGTATGCAGCCTTACCTCTAGAGGCAGGCAGAGAGGCTATTACAGGTTTTGAACCTGTGACCTCCAAGTAAAAAAGACAGCATATTGTCCCATGAAAACCAGCGCAGAGGGATCATATTGGTTTATGTAATTTTAGTCTCTATAGTAACTTGACAAAGTACTATTGCAGATGACATGCATGATGATGCAAGTTCAAGATGCTCTTCACAAGGGACATATTCCAACTTTAATTATTTCAATGTAGATGACAAGGAGAACAATGCAGCATCTACAAGAAAAGATAAACATCCCATCACAAAGAGTCACAAGTGTACAAGGTCTCTCCATGGAGAAGATTCAATCACTTCCAAGCAAGGCAAAGTGTTAGCCGGACTGCAAGCACCTTCTACTATTCAAAGTAAGAGGATGATAGACAATTGCAGTAGGCTAACAAGGAACAACTCACTAATTGATATGAGGAGCCAATTACTACATCGATCATTAGTTGAGGAAGTAAACAAAAGACGGTTGTTCAATACAGTTGGAGCTGTGGAAAATATCGGATTTCAGACACCTCGTGATGTTTCCATAAAAAAATCACAGCCAGTATTTGGTGCTATAAATCTGAACTATTCTAGGAGTGGCAAGGGAGAAAACTTGACAGCTAAAAAGAACTAGAAATGGTTGTCCTTAAACTTTGAAATAGTAGAGTTAAAAATGCATAAACTTCTGCACCATGAGTCATGCCTGGAATACTCAAATAGTTTGTATTTATTAAGGTGTTATGTTGAAATGAGGGAAAATAGATGTACATAGAGTGTGCTGGACAAAAATAAATGCTTTTTTGGAGATGAAGCAATCTTCTAATGTAAGCTGGACCAGCAGTGCTACCAGTATTAGTATCTATGATGCTTGTGTTGTTTGTTTTACTAGCTTCTTTTTCGCTTTCTACAATACACCGAATTGGACACTTTCGATTTTGCATATGTATACCGTTATGTGTGCTATTTATTGTAGATGTTTTCTTTCTTATGACATGAAATGAAAACATTATCAGCATATCAGCATGAAAATTTTCTTTTCTGGGAAATGCCTATTGATCTGATTCATAACATATCAGCATGGTTTCTTCCTTTCAGTTGAATTTTTTGTTACAACTCTCAAACATTATTGAAGGGAATGGCAAGCTTCCATTTCTAAAATGGCTAACTTGCTTTTCATAATTGGCAAACCCTTGAACATTCTTCTTCTTGCATTCTGTTATTCAAGGGGCATCATTCTTGTGGGATAAAAAATAAACATGATGATCATTTAGTTGTGTACACCATGAGTAACATTTGATTGAGTCAAAAAGTTCATATTTAGCAAGAATAACTAGAAATGATGGTGAGCCTCGGTGCAACCATTAGGTTGCAGCTTGCTGACTAATCAGTCACGGGTTCAAGTCTTAGAAACACTATCTCAATAGCTTGCAAGGGTAAGCCCATATACATCTATCCTCCGCAAACACTACTTTGAGAAGGATATAATTATGAAAGATTGATAGAATCAAAGCCAATCAGCATATTAATCACGTGTACAAGAGAGGGAAGAGAGGAGTGTGTAAGTTAGATAACTAACTCTAATTAACTGTTTGACAGTTAGAGTTAGTTAGGCAGTTATTGGCTTAACTAGTTAGCTTAAATAGAAACAGAGAGCATGTATTAGCTAGGCAATTTTTGAGTGTTTACTGATTGTGGAATCAGTGGGAAGGTCGTGGGACCTTTGTAAAGCTTTTCTTTCTTGTAATCTTCTTCTTCTTCATTAATAACATAGAGCCCTGTCAAGAATTTATTGATTCTGGTTCTGGGACACTTTCCTTTCTAAATTCTTTATCTCAATTCTACTTAAATAGATACCAATGCTTATCACTGGTATTAGAGCACCATTCTGGTGCCTGTAGGAGAAAACCACCACACCAAGCTGCAAAAGAATTCGTATAGTCTCAACAAGAAGCATGGCAAGGGAAAGTGATACTTGGATGCAAGAAAGAGAGGAGATACGCATGAGAATGGAAATGAATGAGGCTAGAACCAAGAAAGCTGAAGATTTGCTAGCTGCTATAGCCCAAAAGTTAGGAGTAACTGCCGGAGAGGGAAGTAGTGAGAATGAAGAGGAGGTGGACAACCACATAATGCAGCAGAACCATGACAGATGGAGGAAATTGGAAGTCCCAATCTTTATGGGAGATGATGCTTATGGATAGGTTCAGAAGTTAGAAATGTATTTTGCTATGAGGGTCATTACTGAAGCAGAGAAGATGAGGGCTACCTTGGTGGCATTAGAGGGAAGAGCCCTAAGCTGGTATCAATGGTGGGAAAGTTGTACTCCTTCACCTACATGGGAGAGCTTCAAAATTGCAGTAGTAAGGAGATTCAAGCCTTCAATGATTCAAAATCCATTTGAATTGCTTCTGTCCCTGAAACAATAAGGTGGTGTGGAGGGCTATGTGGAAGAATTTGAAAAATATGCAGGGGCAATGAAGGGAATGAATCAAGACTTCATTAGGGTAATATTCCTTAATGGGTTAGGGCATATGTTAGGTTATATGAATTGGAGACTCTGCAAGAGGTGATCCAGAAAAATTTACTCATTGAGCAGAGAAACTTGGTGGTACAGAAGAAATCTGGAGTGAATTTTTCTAGGAATTCTAGTACTTACAGAAGAAACTCTTACAACAAGGTGGTTACCTTAGATCCAACAGCTGCTAGCACTTCCAGAAAAGAAGGGACTTCAGTAGGCAGTGTGGTTGGACCTGCAAAACTTGCTCAAGAAGGCAGTAGTGCAAGGAATATGGGTGATTTTAGGAGGTTGTCAAGTGTTGAGATGAGAGAAAGAAGAGAGAAATGGCTCTGTTTCAGGTGTGATGAGCCTTTCTCTAGGGAGCACAAGTGTAAAAACAAACAGCTAAGGATGTTACTGTTGGCTGAAGGGGAGGATGATGTAGGGGAAACAGAGGAGGAGGAAGAAGTTCAGCAGTTTAACTCCCTGCTTCACATCAACCAAATCTTGGAAGATTGAGGGTTCTCTGGAGGGCAGGCCAATAATCATCATGATAGATTGTGATGCTTCACACAATTTCATCTCAAGGGAATTGGTGGAGACCATTCAATTGAAGGTGGATAAGACCAAAACCTATGTGGTAGAGGTAGGGGATGGTCATCATATCCAATGTCAAGGAAAATGTGGACAACTGAAGCTGATTATGCAACAGTTAGAAGTCATCCAG